TCCTACATATAGTACAGTGTTGGTAGTATCAAAAAGGATCAACAAGCTTAATAAAGGGCAACTCTGTATTGATGTAAATGCCTTTCAGATTGTAGACTGTTTCTGTGCTTTAAACTTGCCAGTTAATTCAAAAGAATAAACATAGCTGGTCTTAACTTTTTATTTGGAAAAGTGGTCAATCCACAGAGCGCACAGATGTAGTCTTGCCTTCAGTCACCCATTGCTATTGCTCACAAGCACACGTGTGCGCACGCGCACGCACATTTTGGAAGTAAGTTGCAGAGACCCTGATTGCCGTTTGTAAAGACTTTGAGGCCATCCCCTGAGAACGAAAACCCGCTCCAGCGTAATCGCACCACCGTTGTCGGTGGAAGAAAGTGAGCAGGCCCATGACCTCTGTCTGCAGCGCCAAGTCACCTTTCCTCAGATGCCTTCGCATTAGCTGCTGCTGCCCTCAGCCTGCGTCCTTCCTATGCTGGGAAGTCACAGAGCGGACTCCAGTAGTTCCTGAGGGTGCTGCTCGTGGGCAGACATACCATGGCCACTGCTCAGAGCAGGGTCTCTCTGGACCACTGGGTGAAGGCTGTTGGCAGCGGGCTGCTGCTCGGCAGAGTGGGCTTGGCAGCGCCTGCACAGACCCCTCCCCGGGTGCCACTGGAGGACTGCTGCTCTGAGCACCTGAGTCAGCGTCCATCCCGTCGTCCTCAGCAGCCCCTGCAGATGAAGGTGCTGGCGTTGCCCTGGGGTTCCTGGGTGGGGACCCTGCTCTCATGGCTGATCCTGCTGTTTCAGTGGCGGGACCACTGGATGCAGTGTGTGTACTTCCTGGCACGAGAGGAGCCTGTGGTGCAGGGTTCACCCCTCTGCCTGGTGGCCCACCATGACGACTACTGTGTGTGGTTCAGCCTGCAGAGGCCCAGGTGCGCCCTGAGTGCTGGGGGTACAAGGCGCAGGAGGGGTGGGGGGAGGGAGCTTGGAGACTGTCAGGGGCCCCCGTGTGCAGGCTTTGGGGGGGGGCAGGTGGGTGGCTTTGTGTCTGCATAGAATCAAACAAGGACAGAGGGCTGGCACTGGCCAGACTGATGCCCATCTGTGTGACCCTGAAGAGCTGCCTGCACTTGCTAGCTCCCACTCAGACATCTGGCCGGGGGCCTGCTAACCCCCCACCTCGGGTTGAGAGCTAATCCCTGCACTTGTGTTCCCCAGAGCCTGAGTGGGTCCCTGGGGCCTTCCCAAGGCCCTCCCATGGCACCCTGTGTCTTCTTTTCCTGGCCTAGCCCCGAAAAGGAAGGGGCCAGCTTCCACCAGGTGCGCCCCATCTGTGACTGCCAGGCTCACCTGCTCTGGACCCGGCCTCGGTTTGGGGAGCTCAACGATCAAGATAGGACGGATCAGTACGTCCAGGCCCTGCGGACGGTAAGTGGCCAACACTATGGGGCTGCAGGGGCCTCTGTCCTAGGAGCCCCTGCTCATGATTGGTCAGTTCTCCCTGGCCTATTGACTGTCTCTGGGGGCTCTACCAACTCCTGGGGTGGGCACTTGAGCAGATACAGACCTCCGTCCTGCGGCATCTGCAGGGTCGGTCCCCTGAGCAGGCCTCTCTTAACCTAGGACACAGTTGTCCCCTGAAGTCCCAGGAGCCGTGCATATGTGCACAAGCCTGCATTTTCAGGAGGATCCAAGCTATTGTAGTCTGTAGGGACTGTGACCTGGGACAGGCTCCCTGCCTTTGGGAGGCCAGAGACTGCGTGAGGCTTGGCTGTCAGGCCCCCACATGTCTGTTCCCTGATGTCTGTGGGTAGTCAGGCAGGGAAGAAACGTCTCCACTGTGGACTGGGAGTCGCTGTCTGGATGGCCAGGCTTTGAGAAGGGTGAAAGGGGAGGGGTCTTCCCTAACGCTGGGGCTGGGCCAGGGAGGGGAGGAGATAGGTGGGTTTAAGGGTGGGGGACTGCGTGGGGAGCAATGTAGATTTTGCTGGGCTGCGGGGGCGGCTGGGAGACGGAGGTTGGGGTTGGTGGGACCGGGAGAAGGGAGTGTTCTGTCGGCTGCTGGCCACTTCCTGGGCTGCTGACCACTCTGTCTTGAGAAAAGCTGATGTTCATCCTGCAGGTGCTGAAGCCAGACAGCATCTGTGTCTGTGTCGGCGACGGCAGCCTGCTCCCTGTGCTGGCCCGGCACCTGGGGGCAGAGCAGGTATGAGGCCAGCCCCTGGGGTGGGGGCCTGCGACCAGTGTGGCCTGCGACCAGTGCTCCAGGCACCACCCTACCCTCGTGGGGCCTGGGCACCTGGGGCTTCTGGTGATAGCAGGAGCCCTGGCGATATTTGGCGGGGGAGGTGCTGAGTGCAGGCTCCAGCTGAGCCCCACCTGGAACGACCTGCCTGCCTAGAGCAGGGGTGCCTCCTGGGGAGCGCACTCTCACATGCCTGGCCCTGTGTCATCCTCAGGTGTTCACCATAGAAAGTTCAGCAGCGTCTCACCGGCTGATGAGGAAGGTAAGGGGGACCTGGCAGCTGCTCCTGGGTTTGGGGTAGGTCACTAGAGCAGCAGCTGCCAGGACATGAGAGCTGGTTGGGGATCCTTGGCTGTCATCAAAGTAGAAGCAAATGTTTTTGTGACCAGACAGGAAAACTGAGCCTTCCCTGTAATAGAGTGATGTCAGGGGTGGGTCTGGAGGCCCAGTATGCTGGGAGTCAGAGCGGGCACCCTGGGGCAGTGATGGGCATGCTCTTCTCTGAGCTGCAGGCCGGGCAGGAGGCCAGGCAGGTGCACTCACCGGAGAAATATCTTCTGCTGGTGCAGCGTTTGGGTGGGGGTGGGGTGGGATGGTGTGTATGTGTGCCTCCCCTCCACCCCCCACCCCTCATTCCTTCTGGGTGAAGATCACTTGGAGCACAGGAAAGCCTCCCCCATATGATTGGCCAGGAGTCTGCGCACCCATGAAGATGCTTTCAGAGGGAAACAATGCTATAGGGAAGAGGCAGTCTTTTACTGTTTGTTTCCTTCAAGATCTTCGAGGCTAACCATCTGGAAGAGAAGATCAACATCATAGAAAAGCGGCCTGAATGGCTGACGTCTGCAGACCTCGGGGGGAGGAAGGTGAGTAGCAGGTGCTATGCTGGTGCCCCGGGCTGCGCTCCAGTCGACCCGGCTCTGGCTTCCAGGTGGGCAGCTTGTCTTCCTCTACCCTTGGCTTCATCTCCCACTCCACGCGCCCCTCCGCAGCACACCTGTCAACACCCTTTTCTTTTGAGGCTTTAAGATAAGACAGCCTGTTCCAGGTGGTCTCCTTGCTTTCTGGAGGCTGCTGCTCGGTCTCCTTGGTGGCTTTCTCTCTCCTCTTGTCCCGTCGATGGCTGGCCTGTGCCCTGGTGCTCTGTTCACAGCTGCCCTCTCTGTCCAGTCCCACACCTGCTTTGGTATCCCCAAACCCACGTCTTCCTGGAAGAGGCCTTGCTACCTTCTTGGATTTCAGTCTCCTGCCCAGTTGGCTCTCTGACTAGCCCACTGCCCACCAAGCTGGATTTGCCTCAGCAGAATTGAACCTTCCCCCAAACAGTCTCAAGGGATGTTTGACCTGCCTGTCTCCAGTGTCACCCCGTCTTGCGTTAGAACACTCCTCTGTCCCCGAGATTTCCCTGCAGTTTGTTGGGGTCAGGCACCAAATCCGGGCCTTTACCCAGCCCCTAGGACCCCAGCCCCTGCCCCCGGCCACTGGCCACTCCTGGTCTGGCTTCTTTTACCCAGCCTACTGTTGGTGATGTTCACCCAAGTTGTAGAGTGTGTTTGGTTTTGTCTTTGGGTATTTTTGCTGAGTGAGTAGTCAGGTGTGACTGTGCCCATTTTGTTTTATTTCGTAGTTCACGGATGTTAGCTATTTGGATGCTACTATGGACATTTACCTATAAAGTAGCCCTTTTACCTTATGGATGAGGTTTTATAAAATATTTTAAGATACTTAAATACAGTACTGCCGAATCATTGATTTTCTTACTGAGTTGCCAGCTCTTTATATCTTATAAAATCTGTAGATTGTCTCCCCCCCACCAGCAGTATAGTTTCTTTGGAAGCATAAACTCTTTTAATGGAATCCAGTTCACTATTGTGAAGTTTTATGGCTTAAGCCATTGATGTCCTAGCTAACCCAAAGCCACGTTCCTTCTATATTTCCTTGTAGAAGGTTTATAGTGTGAATGTTTATATTTACATCTTTAGCCCATTTTAAGGAACCCTGGTAGCCCAGTGGTTGAGCACTTGGCCGCTAACCAAGAGGTTGTCGGTTTGAAGCCCCAGCCACTCTTTCTAGAATGGCGTGGTTTGCCCCGCTGAGACGCAGCCTTGGGACCCTGGAACCTGTTTACAGTCCCTTTTGCTTTCACCGGAGTGACTGATCTGGGGTGGGGGAGTGTGGGGTGGGGGCTTGGGTGGGATGCAGCTGCATTCTTTTGGGCATTGCTGCCCAGTCTTCAGGCTCCCTTTGTTAGAAAGACAACCCCCCCACCCCACCCCCCTATTCACCCGTATGCTCCGGTGCTCTCTGACCATCTGCTTGGTGCTGGGGCCCAGTGAGGAGAGACTGTCATGACAAAGCTTGGATGGGCTCTCCAGGGCGCCAACTGTGCGCTCCTGCCTGGCTACCACCCGCACAGCCCTTCCTCCCTCTGCAGGCCTGGGTCTCCATCTCTTCAAAGGCTGGTGTCAGCCAGTCTGTTGATTGGCTGAGGGAGGGCTGCCTGGGCGTGGGAGTGTCCTGTGGTACTCTGCCCTCTCTCCTTTGCTGAACTCTGACACCTGTGCTGCTTCTCGCTCCACCCCAGGTCTCCCTCCTGCTGGGTGAGCCCTTTTTCACCACCAGCCTGCTGCCCTGGCACAACCTCTACTTCTGGTACGTCCGGACCGCCGTGGACCAGCACCTGGCCCCGGGCGCAGTGGTGATGCCCCAGGGTGCCTCCCTGCACGCCATGGTCGTGGAGTTCAGGGTAGGTCGCCACCAGGGACCACGCTATCTTGGCGAGAGCTTGGGGGCCGCTGGGCCTTTGATTTCCCATGCCAGCACACTGGCGTGCCTGTCAGTAACCTGCCAGGTTCACTTGCCGCCACCTGACATCAGCAGTGCGAGCGCTGTGTGTTGTCCTTTCACAGTCGTGGCTTATCAGGATAATTAAAACATGGCAATTAAGCGTTGCGGGGCCCGGGCTGTGCTGCCGACTCTGCGCTCATTAACAGCCTGAGCTCCTGTTGTTGAAAACATTCCGAGACGGGAGAGTTGGCTTCTTTATGCAAAAAGAAAAAAAAAAAGGGTGAAAAGCTTCGTTTTTTCTAATCAAAGCAGAACCGCCGTCACAAAGCCATTTTGATAAAGGCCTTTTTATTAAAGGATTTTTGGAAGATTTTAACCTGAAGCATAGAGTGAGTCTCACTTGCTTTTTGATGAAAGGCTTTGTCAGTCAGTTGTTTGCGGCTCCGTGGCGTCATTTCTGGGCCCTCTGCTTGTCATTTGCCTGATTAGGTCTGGTTCCCGATGGGTGGGCAGCCTGGCCATTCCCAGCTCCGGTTCCCTCTGGGAGAGGCCACCTCTTACTCCTCACCCCTTGCCAGCTCTGCTACTGCACCGGACTTGGGGAGTGGCTTAGCCATTTTCTCCCGGAGGTTCTGGCAAAAGACCTTGCAGGGGAAGGTCCTGGGTGGTGCCAGTCATATGGGCTCCCTCAAGTCTGCTCCAGAAACCAGCCTGGATCATAGGCACCTCTGAGTCCTTCCGCCTCAGGCTCTCAGAAGTGGGCCCAGGGCTCTTGTGGTGATGTAGCCCTGTGTCCTGGGTGGCTAGAGTCTGCTTGCTGTCCCACAGACCCTATAATGGGTACTGGTGACACTGTCCTCCCCTCAGGACCTCTGGCGGATCCGGAGCCCTTGTGGGGACTGTGAAGGCTTCGATGTACACATCATGGATGACATGATCAAGGTAGGCAGGCTGCCACTCAGCAAAATGTCCCTCCCATCCCACGTGGCCACAGATCTGTGACAGGGACAGCCTCCTGCCCTCCGGGTAAGCACTCGGGTCACGTGCAGGAGCGTCCTGTGTGCAGTGGGCCCACCCAAGCACCTGGCCCTGACGGAGTCCAATCTGACCTCAGGCAGAAGCACTGAGTGGGGAGGTCCGTGGGTCACCACACCCCTAGAGCCACCTTGTCAGCATTCTCTGTTGGGATAGTCTTTCTGGAAGGCAGTGACGTGACCTCTTTTCTGGGCCAGTCATTTTTATTTGGGGAACTTTGTCGGGATTGGGATAGAACATGGAGGGCCAGGACTGGGAGGGTCACCATGATGTCGTGTGTGCAGTCGGTCTTAAGAGGCAGCACCCTCAGTGTCAACAGCAGGAGTAGACTAGCCATGAGGACCTGAGTGTCCCCAGGGCCGGGGCAGTCTTCGTGCAGGGAGAGCAAGACATGTGCGCAGAGAAAGGTGTGCAGCAGAGTTGGTGCCCAGGGAGCTGCAAGTGGCTTCCTGTGTGAGCGCTTCCTTTTGCCTCTCTTTCAGTCCACCTTTCTCCATGGCAGACGGAGGCAGCTTCCGTAAACACGTTTAAGAAAGTAAATCCAATGTCTTATCTGCTCCTGGCGGGAGTGGCTGGCTGCTCATTTCTAGAAGGCCGCTGCCCCTTTGTGAGCCTGCTGCTGCCTCGCAGGCTTCTCCGTCAGCCTTCCCTCGCTAGTGGCCTGGTTTTGTCCTTCTGCCCTCTGACCATGTCTGCTTCTACCCTGAGTGCTGACCAGAGAGCTCAGAGCAGCGGGCTCACCAGGGGAATGTTCCCAGGCCCTTTAATGCCCCTCCGGTGCTCCCTGCCTTCATCTTAGTGCCACTTACACCTGACTGCTCAGCTAAAGAGCCCACACCCCCTGCCAATAAGGCGACTGTTGAGGTGGGGCCTCCATCTAGGCGGCTCAGAGGCTGGAGACCTCTCGGCTGCCAGTGGTCAGCAGCCGTGCTGAATGAGGGTGGGAGAGCCAGGACTTTCTACCAGGCAGGCATTTGGTTCTCAAAATTGCTCAAGAGATAGAGGCCTTGCTACCACCCCATTTTAAAAGGGGCGGCTGAGGCTGTCAGAGACGAGGTGATTCCCCGAGGTCATAGCCAGTGCTTGGCTGCAGGGCAGAAGAACCAGGTCTGCCTGTGGGTGGTGGGAGAGCATGGAAATCTGTCCCCCCTTCTCCGTAGCGTGCCTTGGACTTCAGGGAGAGCCGGGAGGCCGAGCCCCACCCCCTATGGGAGTACCCCTGCAGAGGCCTCTCAGAGCCCCAGTGCATCCTGACCTTTGACTTTCAGCAGCAGGTGCCCCAGCAGCCTGTCCGGGCTGTGGGCTCCCTCGAGCTGAGGAGGTGAGTGTGGGCGGGATAGGGGAGACCTGCCGGGGCAGGTGGCCATTGTTCCAGCCCTGCTCTGGTAGTCTGGTGGACCTGAGGGAAATGAAGGCGGGAGCACCCCGAGGGTGAAGGGAGGGGGCTTGGCTATCATCTCCCCACTCATGGGCCAACGGATCTCAAAGCACTTGGATCACAGCTGCAGAGGTGTATGTGGTTACCATGGTTACCCAGTGGTCCTACACTGCCCTATTCTGGGAAGGAAAGCTGCTGGCCAGTAGTAGGGGGCTGCATGGGGCAAACTTGGCTCCCTGCAGCTCGTCTTGGGAAAGGACCATTCTCTTTCCTCTGTCAGCCTCAGCAGGCTCTCACCCGCCAGCTTTTTCTGAGGGGGCTGTTTCCAGGTGCCTGTTGGCTGCAAGTGGGAAAGACCAGGGCTTGGGTGAGCTGAGGCGCCTGGGCCCTGCTCCATCTCTTGTGACTGGGTTCCTCTTTCCGCACAGGCCTGGCAGGAGCCACGGGGCAGTGCTGTGGATGGACTACCACCTCACCCCAGACAGCACGGTCAGCACTGGCCTCCTGAGGCCCACAGGAGACGAGGTACTGTTGGGAGAAGATTCTGCCCCTGGGCTTTGGGTGCTCCTGTCAGGGGTTCTTGAGGCCTGCAGTGACTCCCAATTGCCCAAGCACCTTCTTGCCACCTGGGCTGGAGGCTGCTCGGGAAGGGGCCCTGGCTACCTTGTGCCTGCTCTTCTCACAGGGGCACTGTTGCTGGAACCCCCATTGCAAGCAGGCCGTGTACTTCTTCAGTCCCATCCTGGACCCCCAAGGACCGCTGGGTGGCCCACAGACCATCACCTACGCTGTGGAGTTCCTGCCCCACAATGGAGATATCACCATGGATTTCAGACTCTCGGATGACCCTGGTGGTGTGCCCTCACCCGCAGTTGTTGGGAATAAAGTGGCTGAGGGTCCTTGAGCCTTGGCTGGCATGTTTCTTTCTGCGAGACAGGCTGCTCCTGCCTCCAGGTGCATGTGCTCAAGGGCTGGGAGTTCACCGTGGGGGGAGGGGGCGGCAGAGCCCTAGCTTCTGGGTCAGGGGTGCTCTGAAAGCCTGGCAGGCAGCGCTGCCACTCCTGAAGGGCTGATGTCAGGGGTGGGGTGGGGAGGAGGGGTGTTAGGTCGCCGTCCCTTTGGGCAGTGCCGGAGGCAAGTGTGGTGTGGACTGAGGAATGTTTTCCAGGTCCTTGCCTTCCTGACTGCAGCTGGAGGGTGGGCCAGGTGGGGCAGACATGGCCGAGGCCAGAGGAGCCTGAAGAATTCGAGTGAAGGTACAGGTGTCTGTGCCTCCCATTTCCAGCCGACTTCTCCAAACCTGTCCTGGGCACCGGGTGGGTGCTGAGAAGGCTGCTGCTCAGAGGGAAGTTGGGTGCTTTTCCTGAGAGCAGCCAAGGGAGCCGACCACTGGAAGTAAGTCCTCCTTCCCCTCACTGCCTCTGTGGCTCATAGAAGGACCCAAGGCCTACTGGGGGGCAGCCCAGTGCCAGCCCGCCTCCGAGGAAGACCAGAGGGTCCAAGGTCACAGCTCTGATCCTCACCTCGAAGCTTTGGCTGGCTGCCCCACGGTTCCCCCAAATGACCCAGGCTCTCAGCATGTTGGGGGCCCACTCGGGCTACCAGCTTCCTGATGCAGGCGGGCACCACAGCCCCCCCCACTCCATGCCACCCAGCCCCAGCTTATCACAAATGGCGGAGACGGCAGCTTCAAGCCTCACAGTTTTATTTTCTCCTTGTATCCATCCATCCTTTCAGCACCAATAAAGGAAAAACACTCCTCCTTTCAAAAGATTATAGCAGGTGTAAAGAATGTTTTCTTCAAGGGAAGAATCGTCTGGATATGTATTTGCTAATGTGTTTACCAAAACCTTAAGTGTGCTTGCCCTATAAAACCCCTTAGATCCCGTGTGGATACAATACAGAAAAAAATACAGAAATTAAAAAAGTGTGGTTTTTTTTTTCTTTCATTTTTTAAAACAGTATCTCTAAATCTCAGCAAGTTAGTACAATAGTTAAAAAGCATCAAGATTAATAGTCATACTCAAAACCCAAGGTGTTTCGGACAGATGAAATGGACGGTTCTCCTTCCTCAGCTGACCCTGCACCCCCCCGGCTTCTCGGGCAGGCGCAGGGCCTGAGGGGAGAGGGGGGGGATCTGGGGTGGAGCCTGCCTCCTCCAGGCCGAGATGGCACAGACTTTGAGATCCTGGAAATGTTTTTGTTTTTTAAAATCAGAACTGGAGAGCCTGGCTGCACCCAGGGTCCGGGGTGATGAACCATGGCCATGGCCGCTGTGCTAAGGGACCGTGAGGAGAGCTGGAGGCAGGGCGGCCTGCCCAGGATGCCGGGGACTGGCTTGGCAGAGGCGACCTATTACCACAAGGTGGCCAGGCACAGGGAGGTATGACTTGCCTAAGGCCGCCCTGTGATGGGGAGGGAGGGAGGGAGGCAGGCCCCCAGCCCCCTTTGGGCTGGACAGGACCTGTGCTGCTGCAGTTTGGGGGGCTGGGCCTGGCTGCCTCTGTGGACACAGCCACCTCGAAGCTGAGGGCCCTGGCCATAGTCCTGGAGTTGTTCCAGTGAGCCCATTGTGCTAGCTAAGCAGAGGCCAGACCTGGGGAGGGTCGGACTGCCTCCTGGCTTGGACTCGGAGCAGGGCTGGGGACCGGGCAAGGTTAAGTGTCCTTGGCAGCTGGCCCCCAGGCCAGATAGGGCAGATAAGCCTGTGTCATGGTGCTCTGTGCCCTACCTCCCAGCCTCTGTTCGTTTGTGTGCCCCTCCCGCAGACCTGGCATCAGGCTGTCTGCTTGGTCCCCTCTTGCGGCTCAATAGGTGACAAGGCACAGCATCAGCACACCAGCACCAGGAGGCTCCCGAGTGGGACCCTGGTGCTCCTTCCCCAGCCTTGCTGGGCAGAGCTGGCTCAAAGCCAGGCTGGACACGGTCAGGGCGCTGCAAGCAGTGGGGTGGGGTGGTGGTAGGGACATGCAAAGAACCCAGGTCAGAGGAGCTTCCCACCTCAGGACGATGGAAAAGCGCCCCCTTTGTGACTCCTCTCCAAAGGGCAGTGGCCCGTGGCCAACAAGGGTGGTTGGGTTGTTGGCAAGCTCGGGGTCACCCTGGTCACATGAGCGGTAGACCTGGCTTGTGTCCCCGACAGCAAGCAGTACCTCGCCTGCTCTGGCCAGCAGCAGCGTTTGGCTTGGCTCCTCACCCCGAGTCTGCACCCAGTGAGTGGAGTGGCCGCAGGTTCCTGAGCTCGCAAAGCCCCCAGGAGGGATTGGTCACGGACCAGAGGGGGCCAAGCATCAGGCTGAGGAGGGCAATGGGTTGGTTCAGCTACAAGAGAAGCAGCTACAAATCAATGTTGTCAAAGTCAGAGGCCCCTCCACACTGACGTTGTGAGTTCCCGCCTATAAAAAAGTGGGAGCCCTGCCCGCATCTGTGTTATGGCTCCACCTCCCAGGCTTGAGCAGAGGGGTCCTGGGGGCGGGGGAGGGATCCTGTCGCAGGAAGAGCTGTGACTTATAGACCCTTCACAGTGAAGGGCTTTGTGGTGTTTTTTGTTTGTTTACTTACTTTTAAAATGTGATCCCCCTTGAACGCAAAATCCCGGGGCAGAGCCCTGCTGTCGAGGACACAGTCCTCAGGCCCGCTGGCAGCCCTGAGCCCCGGGGGTGCTTCTTTGGCTGGTTCTGACTGTTTGGAGTGTGGCCTTGGGTGAGGCCGAACGAGGGTCTGTGGCTACGGCGGATGCGGGGCATGCAGGCAGCGTGCGTGCGAGGGAGCAGGCATGCAGACACATTGGCAGCAGATACAAACAGGACCCCTGGACGGAGCTGGAGAAAAGCTATACAGAGTGCGGACCATGCCCCGGCCTGGCCCACGGCCTCCACACTGGGTTGTGCTGTAGAAAATCCCGTTTGGAAAGAATGGCACTGGTTAGCCGGCAGTGTCTGGCCCGCCCCACCGTCCCTGGGAGCTCTGAGGGCAGGCAGGACCGCCGCGCCTGGCTGAGGACCCCAGCTCTGGAGGGGATGTGGCCCAGCCAGGGGCACAGGCTACAATTCCAGGAGCTGGTACGGCCCTCTGCACAGCGGGCGGCGAGAGGCTGGTCTAGGCTGCCTCGTCCTCGCCTGCGGACACCGTCAGCCGCATGGCCACTGGTAGGTGGTCTGTCAGCCCCGCTAGCTGGGAGATGAAACTGAATTCCTCCACTTCCTGTAGGGGGAGAGGAGCATCCTGGTTAGATGCAGACCTACCCCACAGGGGAGGACAGGGCAGTGGGTAGTCCCCTCCACTTACAGCCTTCAAGTCAGGGCCCAGCCCCTCATCCCCGTGCAAGATGTAGTCGATGCGCCGGCCGTTGCCCTTCAGCAGGTCCTTGCGCCCTTTCTGGCCAGGGCTCTTGCTCGGGGGGAAGACCAGGAACTCCCGGCGGCCTTCCTCGCTCTCCAGAACCCTGTTCACACAAGACAGGAGGTGAGCGGAGCCCCCAGTGGGGAGCCGGCCGCCCCAAATGGGGGAGAACCAAACTTCTAGGCCTAAGAGATATCTCTCCCGTGAGGCCCCCAAAAGGGAAACTGAGTCAGGGCCTGCAAATTCCTGGCTGGTTGCGGCCTTGGACCACTGTAGAGCAGACTTGGGTCTCTGCCCTGGTTTCTTTCCTTAGGCCCCAGGCGGTGTTCCAGGTTGGCAGAAGGCAGGGGACCCAAAGTGTTGGGCCCCAACCCACAGACTCAATGAGAGTGGCTGTTGTGGGCCCGGACACTGGCCACGGGCCACGTGAGCAGAAGCTGAGCAAGATGTCACCCAGAGGCTGGCACTGGTGTGGCCAGGGGGGGGCTGTGCAGGGTGGTGGGGGCGGGGCAGTGGGGAGCACTATATCTTGATTCTGATTCTGATTCCTGGCCTGGCCCCTCCTGCCAGCCTCTCCTCAGGAATCCAGCAGGGCTCCCCAGATCAGTCACCTGAGTGCTGTCATAGGAACCCTCGCTGAGTTGGGGTGGGGTGGGGTGCCTGGAAGGACCTCTGCAAGGAGCTTTTTGTCACCGTAAGTGTTGACGGGATACTGCCATAGCTCTAAAATGTACAGTTCATGACTGTCCTTTGCCTCTGATAATTAATTCTAGTACCAGTAATCTGACAGATACTAAAAGTCATTTTAAAGTTATCTATCATAAAAAGACCATTTTCTCGGCATAGGATGATATTTCCAATTTAGCCTCTAATCTAATTAATGGGCACAGATTGGCTTCGAAGCGCCATCTCAGGCTGTGTATTATAAAGCAGTTCTGCTGGGGGGCCTCCACCCTGGATCCTTTTTGGAATCTCATTAAGATCCAAGATTCGGGAAAGAGGTTTGGCTGGGAAGGACTGCTGACTCTGAGAAGGCTTGGCAGGTGCCAGCTTTCTTTTAATTGTCTAATCGGTGAGCATGGCAACCAGCTTTGCAGGGTCCTGGCAGCAAGGGCCCCTTTCCTGCCGGCTGCCCAGGGAAGGTCAAGCTCTGGCACTATTAGCCCGGCCCAGACTATGGGGGCCTCCAGAGTCCCCCCCATCCTGGACCCAGGAGGTGACTCCCACGGTGCTGGCAGCCACGAGCAAGGATACCTACTTCTGCAGGTTGTCGGGGGTGCACACGTCCTCCTCGTGAAGATTGGTGTCCAGCAGGGTGCCTGCAGGAAGGGCAGAGCATCACAGGCAGGACCAACCAGCCTCTTGACCACTGTCTGTCAGCCTGTGCCCATGGGGTACAGCCTCGGAGCCCCATGGACCCCCCAGTCCCTCCCAGCCTGCCCCACCCCAACTCACCAATGGCCCATGACTTCTCCTCCCCAGGGCCCAGGCGGCAGGGGTCCTTGTAGCGTGTAAACAGGGAGTGTTGCTGCTCCAGCTTGTCGTCTGTGGGAGGGGAGAGTCAGGTCTGCTGAGCTGATGTCTTCCCCGAGGCTGACAGACTCAGCCACCCTTCACAGCTGGGGGGGTGGGTGGGGGGTGGAACGGGCACTGGTCTGTGTCCCTGGGCCCCTGGTCTCAGCATCCCCACTTCCTGAACAATGGACCCACATGCCTCCGTGGGCTTCCATTTGTCCTACCACCCCACAGAGCCAGAAAACCTGTCCCAAGACCCCCTGGGAAGGAGGACAGGGTGCTGATGGAGCTGGTCACCTGCCCGACCACCCTCAGTGCCCAGGAGCCTAGCACTGGACTCCTTGCACCCCATCCCCAGGCCCCAAACAGCAGTGTGACCATGTGATCACAGAGCCAACAAAACCTAGCTGACGCTGAGCTTTTAGACTCCATCCTAGGACTATGGCGACTGCTTCCCGGTGTGTGAGTCGCAGCTGAACCACTTACTGACTGGGTGACCTTGAGCTAGCTGCTCCCCCTCTTTGGGCCTTCCCAGTCTAGCTCTGGGGGTGATGAGGGGCGTTGGGGATCCTGGGCAGAGCGGGGGCAGAGCACTGAGTTGGCTGAGTCTCGGACGGGAGGAGGGGCGTGGCCTCACCAGATGAGCAGTTGTCAAAGTTGAAATCTCCACAGATGACATCAAAGGCCACCAGCTCCTCGGGGTTGGCCGTGCTGGGCGAGGAGGTAGATTTTCGGAAATCAGCCAGCCAGGACAGCAGCAGGTCCAGCTGCTCACAGCGGATGGCGCTGTCCACTATGGGCAGCACCAGAAACGGTGGTGAGGCTGGGCCCAGGCCTGGCCCCCCTTGCTGGGCGGTGACCCCACCCCAAGGACCTCATGGCCGGCCTACCTGCTGGGGCCTGCAGGTGTGTGCAGGAAATGTACCCGACGATTCTTTGGTCCTGAGGTGTGCATCCCACCTGCACCTGTGTGGGAGCGGGGCCGGTGTCAGCCTCCACACCTGGTCCTGGACAAGGTATGTGGGGGATGCCCACCAGCCGCCCTGCCCTCCCACATAAGGCCCAGGCCCAGGCTGGAGGCAGACAGGAGAGGTGCTATCAGCTGAGGGGACAGTGGGCACCGATAACCACCTTGGTAGATGGCCTATCTCCACATGGATGTCACCCTGGCACCAGTCTGCATCCTGCTGCGAGGGCTCCTCCCTCCCTTTCTCTTCCTTTCACAGGCCCTGTGTTGTGGTTGGAGCTAAAGGAGATCGTAAGAGCCGTGATGACCAGGCTGAGGGCCCTCCAGTCCCCTGACTGTGGCCACTGACAGAAGCTGTGCCAGGAAGGTTCTTCAGCTGGTATGCTCTCCAGGGCCCCCTCCTAAGAGGTCTCAACCTCTCTGGGATTCAGCCGCCTTCCTCAAACATTGCCAGTTCATGCCAGACCATGAGGCCCGTACCCGGCGGCAGCCCCGGGGAGCGCTGGCTGTGCTGGTCCCAGGCCGAGGCCATGCAACACCTGCCCCGCAATGGCATGAGCGGCCCCAGTCCCTGGACTTGTCACAGCCATGCCACAGGCCACCACAGTCGTCGGCCAGTGCTGTTCTCTTCATGAATGGTCTCCGCTTTCTTCATCATCTGCTGGGCCCCTTTCCCAGCAGACGCCATCTCCCTGTCTTAGTGGGCAGGCGACAGAGTGATGATGGGTGACATAGCCCAGACTGGGGACTGGTTGTAAACTCACGTGTTCACCATTTACATCTTGCCCAATTTTCCAGACTAACCCTCAGCCTAATGTCACCACCTCCATCCCTGGAATGCCTGGTGAAAACCACATCTCACCCAGGCCTCCTGTTGCAAAAACAACACATTTACAGAACTGCAATGCCCCAAAAAGACACGAGGTGGTGCTGTCACTCTATTTCTCAGGCAATAGCCTTTCTCCTCTCTAGTAACACAGGAAAACAACAGTGTCTATGACCCCCAAGGCAGTACGTTGTTGGGTCTCATAGGATTACTCCAGGGAGACCATTTTAATGCACTGAGGCCAAGAGACCTTTAATAATCGACCAGGGTCACAAAGCTCCAAATGGGGAGGCAGGTTCAATTGGGTGTTTGCTGCCTCACACTAAGGGTCTCATCTTCACACTAGGCTGGCGGCCTCTGCTCTGAGCTGAGTAGAGTGGGCACAGTGTGAAATGAGATGTTGCCCGGTTGTGGCCAAGTCTCCTTTCTCTCCCTGGCTGCTGAGCATCTCAGCGCCTCTCCACTGCCTCCCTCGTAATGAGCTGTGTGACCGAGTAGGACCGCTTCACTATCTGTGGGGCCTCATCGACTGCTGTCTGGTGTGGTCAGAGCGCAGAGCCTTGTATTTTTCTAGCAAAACAAATAGTCCCACTGAGGGGCCTGGGGGCAGAGACAGCAGTAGCAGAGGTTTCCAGAATTAGGCTTGTTCTCATGTGACCCAAAGTGTGGGGTGAGGAGTCAGGGGGGCAGTGGTCTGAGGGTGGGGTCCAGTGGGGGCTGGCAGGGTTCGGCTGTGTGCCCCAGGCTCTGGTCGCAGGGAAAGTTCAAGAGCAGGGGCCAGTCACCGGAGACCGATGTTGACTGTGGGGGAGCCAGCAGTCAGGGGAGCGAGGTAAAGAGAGGACATGGAGACAAGCCTGCCTAGAATGGCCTCTGAGCCATCTGTAGTCAGTTGGGAATGAGAACCTGAGAAGACAGCCCCTTCAAAGTCCCTCGGGCTGCTGAGGCAAAAAGATATCTGTGGCAGAGCACACTGAGGAGTCGTGCGCCCCAACAGGGAGGTGCATCTGCTCAGAGGGGGAGTCTAGTCCACTCTGGCATCTCACACTGAGAACCAAGAGCCAGAGCCCCACTTGCCTGCCACAGTGACAGGGTCACCCTGGGCCTCCCTGGCTCTGGCCCGAGTGGGCACGCCAGTGTTCTCCTGGGCAGATGGACAGTGAGCTGAACCTCCCCATGCTAGAACTGTAGCCTCATGCTGGGACTCTAGCGGGGACCTGAGACATCTGGAGGGAAATGGTTCCCAACCCCGGGCAGGCCTGTTCCCACAGCCTCTGCCGAAACTTCTACTTTCTCATGTCTCATGGGGAAAGAGGGCCCCCTCACCCCTAACAGTTGCTGCCTGTGGGGACAGAAAGCTCTGTTCTGCATTAGATGGCTAAACAACGCGTCAGAAAACTCGGGAAGCACTAAGGGCAGCTTTTGGATGGAGAACAAAAAAGCTGACACTACAAGCGTCTCAGGCGCAGTAGAAGAGAATGCATAATGACCAAATTACCACAGTCTAAAAACTCCTCCAATTGCCTTCAAATTAGCACAAATAATTATGATTCTCTTTAATTAATGACTGTGCAAGTAGAGCGTCGTGCTGGTGGGCAGGGTGCCTGGCAGGGCAGCCAAGTGACAGCAGGAGAGGGGCCCAGGTCAGGCAGCTCGTGACTTGAGGGAGGACAGGCCTGGAGGCGCGGAGATTGGTCTGGGCTGATCTCCCCCACCTCCTGCTAAGGGGGTCCCTGTCTCTTCTGTCCCCTCGCCTGCATCATCATCACCATGGCCTCATCACTGCCATCACTACGAGAGTTCAGCATTACCAAAGCTGAAGCTTGGAGTCCCAGGCTTGCCCGCCACTCCCCACCCTGTGTGTAAGTATGCACTGTTCCCCTACCGCCACCACCACCCGTGGCCGATGGGAAACTGGTGGGTGTGCTGGGTCTGATGGGCCCCATCACCTTAGCTCTTGGCCCCATGCTGCTGCTTCTCCTCCTAGAGCAGGGCCTTTGGCTCAGCCCAGGAAGGCTTTGGCTCTCCTTGCAATGCCCCCCCTCCCCCAGGGGCTGCC